AGGTTCTTTAATTCCTCCTCACTTTCTGCCATCAAACTGCTATCATCTGCATATCGGAGGTTGTTGATATTTCTTCCGGCAATCTTAATTCCGGCTTGGGATTCCTCCAGTCCAGCCTTCCGCATGATGTATTCTGCATATAAGTTGAATAAGCTGGAAGACAATATACAGCCTTGTCGTACTCCTTTCCCAATTTTGAACCAATCAGTTGTTCCATATCCAGTTCTAACTGTTGCTTCCTGTCCCTCATATAGGTTTCTCAGTAGATAGATAAGGTGGTCAGGCACTCCCAGCACCTCCCCCAAAAACCTAAAGATTCCTGCTTCCTGCCTTCTATAGGTGATGCTTGCTAAAACGAAACAGACGGGCTATCTCTACGCCATCAAAGTGCTGAAGAAAGATGTGATTCTTCAAGATGACGACGTGGAATGCACCCTAACGGAGAAACGGATCCTGACTCTGGGTCGGAACCATCCTTTTCTCACCCAGCTCTTCTGCTGCTTCCAGACACCTGTAAGTACACACTTACTTGTGGTGGACACAAACACCCTTCCGAACTGGTAGATAGGTAGGAAGTCATTTCCATTTCCTATAAGACAGACATATCTATATAAATAATAAATCTAGAGTTTGGATACATGCATGTTTGCTCTTGTTGTTGTTCAGTTGTTAAGTCGTGTCTGACTCTTCGTGACCCCATGGACCAGAGCATGCCAGGCCTTACCGTTTTCCACTGCCTCCCGAAGTTGGGTCAAATTCATGTTGGTCGCTTCAATGACACTGTCCATCCATCTTGTCCTCTATGTTTGCTCTTATGCAATGTTAAATCATTAAAAGAATGTTACTGTTAAGCCACTAATTCAAGAGGGACAATCCCTTCCACATTGAAGACAAATACAATCTGTCCCCTGTCCAGCTCCCTGATTTTGCTAGTTTCTGGACAGCCTCTCTGCCTCAGCCTGCTGGACAAGGGCCTCTTCAAATTGGGAGAGGCCTTGATGCACCGCTGCCTCCAGGCTGAATGGTCTCACATTGGCCTTCTCAGCCACACTAGATGCTGTTCCAAGACCTCTATTCAGAGCACATTAACCATAGTCTCTCACAGCCACCAAAAATGTGAAATTAGTTCACTAATTAATTTGTTAAATAAAAAATATTAAGGAATAATTTACACTTAATCTGGAAGCCTTCCTTTCCTTTGTCTTCAGAAAACAGCGGTAGCCCAAGCACTGGAGCCTCTTGAGCTAGTCATAAAGTGGACAAAGAAGAGCAAAAATATTCCCGGTGTCTTGTGCTTCCATGGACGTCTGTGTATAGGCCGTACATCTTACGCCCCAGATCTGGACTGCTAATTTGAGAAGTTGGTAGAGTTTGTCATTGTAAACAATCAGATCCCCTAAAGCAGTGTTCCCCAACCTTGGGCCTCCAGATGTTCTTGGACTTCAACTCCCAGAAATCCTGGCCAGCAGAGATAGTGGTGAAGGCTTCTGGGAATTGTAGTTCAAGAACATCTGGAGGCCGAAGGTTGGGGACCACTGACCTAAAGGATGCTTGATTGTTCGGACAGAGAGTAGTTAGAAGCTTGTGCTCTCTCATTAGGCCAAGTCGAGTCCTGGTAACTTAACCGGGGGCTGCCCCAACACTTCCGCTTACATGTCTGCCCTAAAAAGAACAGCTCTGCCACCTTAGGAAAACTCAAAAATCAAAACACATGAGCTTTGTAGTCAGTAGACTCAGAATGCTCAATCAGATTAGGACTCAGTGTGACCTAAATTCCCCCTCAGGGTAACCCTAAGACATCTCCACTGTTCAAGAGACCAATTGATTTTTATAATTATTATTTTATTTAAAAAGAAATAAAGTTTCACAAAATAAAGTCAGTTTTATGCATAAGCAGCAATTAATCATTTTCAAGACTCTGTTACAAAATAGAAATGAAGCATTAATTCCATTAAAATACAAAGACACTAAAAATACTAAAAATCCATAAAAATATGTAAAAAGCTATTTAAGGGAAGGCAAAAGGCAAAAGCCTCTTCTAAAATTCCCTACATCCTCTCCCAGCCTTTCACCCGCACTGAGCAGCAGGCAAACAGACCTAGAAAAACTACATTTTCAAAATAGTCCAAAAAGGTAGAGTTAGGTAATCCAAAGGAAAAGAAATGAATGAATACATGCATGAATGCATGTATGAAATAATGAATGTATAATGTCCATAATAAAAGTTCCTTTTTTAAGCTTCGCTGGCACATCCCTTATCTCCCATCTCTCACGCTGCCATCCAATCACGGAATGAAGTCAGGTAAACAGTCCCTCTTTATCTTCTTTCTTCTCGGCTTCGTTCTCTTCCCATGAGTAACAGGTGTTGTTTGTCTTAGCGTGTCTGCAACAGCGCCACAACAAGGTCCATCCTCCTTATCTAGGAATGTTTCTCTCAGGCCTACAGAAAAACATTCCCACATTCTTCTGAACAATACACTGTCAGCATGCAGAAATCATTTATACAAAGAACCAAAATGGAATCCATCTTACATTGTTCACTACTACATATCCCATCTTCAGTACAAGATTTAAACCACATAACCCATCTCATGACATGAGAAAGGGTTGCTTCATGATGGACAAATTTCCTCCACAGTCCAGATGTCATTAAATGAGCCAGAATCATCAGTTGATAGGATGATGGGGGTTGCAATCTAGCAGCATCTTAAGTTGCCTAATCATGATATAAAGAATTGGAGCCTCAATTGTGGGGTTCCACAGGGGTCGATTATCTCCCCAATGTTATTTAACATCTATATGAGGCCGCTGGGTGGGGTCATCAGGGGGTGTGGTGCTTCGTGTCACCAGTATGCGGATGACACGCAGCTCTACATCTCCTTTTTGCCAACTGCAGGAGAAGCCGTCCTGTGCCTTCAGCGCTGCCTGGGGACTATACTGGGATGGATGCAGGAGAACGGGCTTAGGCTGAATCCGGACAAGACGGAAGTACTGAGGGTGGGCCCTCCCACAGTCGGGGATTTGGGAAACTCCCTCTCTTTCGGGGGGGTGACTCTCCCTGCAAAGGATGGGGTACGCAGCTTGGGGATTCATCTGGACCCGGTGCTTTCCATGGAATCACAGGTGGCATCGGTGGTCCGCACCGCCTTTTTTCATCTCAGGCGGATAGCCCAGCTGCGGCCCTACCTGGAAGTGGGGGCGCTCACCACCTTAGTACAGCCAGAAAGAGGATCAAGTGCGTCCTAGATCAAATCAAGCCCAGACAATCTCCAGAGACAAAAACATTGAAGCTGAGGCTGTTGTACTTCGGGAACATCATGAGACAACAGGATTGTCTGGAAAAGACGATGACACCGGGAAAAGTGGAAAGCAGCAGGAAAAGAGGAAGACCAAATACGAGATGGACTGATTCCCTAAAGGAAGCCATAAGCTTGAGTTTAGAAGAGCTGAGCAGGGCAGTTGAGGCCATTTTGGATGTTGCTTATTCATACAGTTGCCATGCTTTGGAGGCAACTTGATGGCACACAACAACAACAAAAACAACAACAGAGATGGGTCTTCAGTTACCAGTGGAAGGAAAGGAGTTGAGTGCCAGCCCAACCTCCCAAGGAAGAGAGTTCCATGATCTGAGAGCAGCTGCAGAAAAAGTACAAGCGCAAGCGCTCACCAGAAGATACGCCCCTGCAGATCCTGTGGAGCCAGGGCCTGTCCTATTGAATTATTACGGCGATTTATACGCCACCTTTCCTCACAGAAAGCCCAGGTAGGCCAAGAGGCTACCCGAGGACTTAAAATTACCAATTATGCAACGTGCAAATTACAAACGTCGAAAAACGGCACACTGCAAACCACTTAAGGTTAAAAAACAACAAATGGGAAAATCACAAAGGCAAATCACAGTAGCAAAAACAAGCATATGGGTAGATCATTTGCTGAAAACTTGTATGTATACTTTTCTCTTTCATCTATAGTGACAAGTGGGTGGCTATGTTTTCCTGGAACGAGGGGTGACCGCTAGGTGGCGGGCGTCGCAAGTGGGAAAAAAAGAGATGCCAACCACTTGAGTCATGTGACCCTTTTTATCCCACGAAAGGTTAGCTGAGGAAACGGAGCAGCTGCTGCTGCCTCGCTGAGCTTTATTGCCATCAGGGTTCTTGCCAAGAGACGAGAGACTGAATTTTTCTTTCCTAGTTTGCTTGCTTTCTGTTTCCTCACAAGCACTTCAATAAAGCATGCTTCCCCTGTTTCTCAGAGCGCTATTCATTTTTGTGGTAGCATAAGGATGACAAAAATTCTCCTTAGTCTTGGCCTCCCCTCGGTTCACGCCATCCTCTGCGCCAGAATCTTTCTCTCTCTTTCTCTCTTTCTCTTTTTTCATTCCTTTCTGCCTGCCAACGAAAATGAGGAAACTTGGAGGACTCTTCCTTCCTGACGAAATTTCTTGCAAGCCCGTTTTCAAAATCCTGCTGCTTCTTAATTCTCGTTTTGCACTGCACAGTTTTCTGCTTGACCTAAAAGGCGCTGTTGGTGTTAGCAGCAACAAACAAAAAAACAAAATGAGACCAAAATAAAATAAGTAGCCTGTCTGTTCTACACGTTTCCAAGGACAATCTTAAAGTCGTGGGTATGGCGTCTTTATTTTTCCTATGGTTTATTTAATTGGTGTACCATTATTTGCTTATTTCCCTGGCAACTTCCTATTTCTTTTTAATTTACACAGAGAGAGGCCCATAGCAGAGGGCAAACAGATTTAACATGATAAAAAACTAGTGTGAAATTCTGTGTATTTTTCACGGCTGACATTAAACCTTTGCCCGAATACTTCAATATTGCTAGGTAAAGGTAAAGGTTCCCTTTGACATTTAATCCAGTCATGTCCGACTCTAGGGCGCGGTGCCCATCCCCGTCTCCAAGCTGTAGAGCCAGCGTTTGTCCGAAGACAGTTTCCGTGGTCACGTGGTCATCGAGACTAGACATGGAACGCCGTGACCTTCCCACCGTAGTGGTACCTATTTATCTACTTGCATTTTTACATGCTTTCAAACTGCTAAGTTGGCAGGAGGTTGGACAAGCGACGGGAGCTCACTCCGTTGCGTGGCTTCGATCTTATGACTGCTGGTCTTCCGACCTTGCAGCACAGAGGCTTCTGCAGATTAACCCGCAGTGCCACCACGTTTCTTTCAAGATTGCTACAAAGGAAATAATTGCAACAAAGGAAAACGTTGCAAAAAGAAATGGTTGCAACAAGTCACTGCCACTAATTATCTAACAAAAGAAAAAAATCTGTGAAATGGAGGTGATGAAAGAGAAGGAGAAGCTGTAATGAGAGTGGTTGAGGGATTTCTGAACGGGACCTGACAGGCAGGAGTCAAGAGAGATGTTAATGTAAGTGCTTGGGGACTGCACTTCAGATGGAGCACACGAGCATTCGAAAGAATAACTATGAATGATAACAGGTTGAAATCATCTAGATTATGATGATAATAAAAGGCAAAAAGTCAGTCAGTATCTTGAGACATCTGGGTAATCTTAGGGTGTGACTACTCAGCGAGGGAAATGCAAATAAACATTCCTTCTCTTGCTGTGAAGTTGCACTGGGGTATTGGGTTCTCTCTAAGTGGCCACACAGGCTGAGGGAAAAAAAATCCTTCTAATTGCAGTTCCATTTGAAGCACCTGTAGGTGACATGGTTTGAAGGAACTGAATTAAGAAGGCTTTCCTTCTTCAATGATGGCTTCCTCATCTTGTCAACCAGATAGCTATAAAAATAAATAAACATGAGCTCTGCCTAGGAAAGCTTTTTTAAAAGAGTCTTGAGATGCGCGTGGGGTGGTGGTGGTTCACAACTAGAAATGGGCACAAATCTTGGTTCAGAGGTTCATGCTAGTTCGTCAGCCTGGAACCACAAGTGTTGTATGTTCCATTTTGTCCTCACACTGGATTCCCCACTCACCAGCCAGTGCGTGCTGCTCTCTTCCTTCTCTTCAGGCATTCATCCAGTCCAAGCAGGAGTGCCTGCTTCCCTTCTCTGCCTCCACCAGCAGCAACCCACTCAAAGGCAGCGGTGCAGGAATCCCTGCCCCGCCTCCTTGTCTGAGTAGGCGGCTGTCTGTGGAGGCAGAGGAGGAAAGCAGTTGCTCCTGCCAGGACAGGACAAATGCCTGAAGTGGAGGAGAAGAGCAGTACATGCCACCTGGTGGGTGGAGGATTCGGCTTGGGTGGGGTGGGTCGGAGAAAGGGAGTGTGCGGCATCTGTGGTGCTGGGCTGATGAACCAGCACAAACCTCCAAACTGAGGTTCATGCCCATCTCTGTTCGCAAAGTTAAAAAATGACAATTGTAACAACATAACTAGAAATTAAAATAAAACCAAAATTGACAGTACATTGTATACATTAAGAACAATTATAAAATTGGCAACAGTTAAAACAAGTCAGTGGCTAACAGGTTCAGCAGTTTCCTCAGATGAAGTATTTTGGAAAAACCTGCCAAAATAGCCGTTTTTAATGATTTCCTTTCTGTTTCCTGGCAGATGATGTTTGTTGATCATACCAGAAAACAGATCTAGCCCTATCTTTATTCAGGCTCAACCTCACCATATGAACTGCTGTGGGCAATCAGTGCCACAAGAAAATGTTTCACATGTCTGACTGACTGGGCTGTATTTTGCGATTTCGTCCTCTGGTTTGTGCTTCGTTATCGTTTCATAAGCAAGATCTCGGTGGCAGATCGTTGCCCTTGAGAGCAGGCTGCCTGGCTTCTCCAGAATTACTGAGTCATTGTAAGCAGCACATCTGCTTGCGTAAGGCCCAGCCAGACAAACCGAATAGCCCTCCTCAAATCAGAGCTCGAAAGAGGCACTGAGGTGTTTTTGTCAACTGAGGTAAAGCTCCTTTTCGTAGCTTCCACCTGCATTTTGATAAAACAAAGTCTTAGCGGTGAATGTGTTTGTCTTAAAGCTGCCATGAAAGGTTTTGTTGCCTATGCTAAAGCAGACTAACATGGTTTGAGTCATTGCCATCCTTGCTATCGCCGTTGCCATCTTCATCATCATCACCATCTATTTTCATCAAAGGAGTTTCGAAGGAGGTAGCCGTGCTAGTCTGTGCAAGAATATCAGGCAAAAGCCATCACTATAATCCTCAAGGTAGCTAGCAGTAACATGTATTAAAATATGAAGCCATAGTTAAATAATATATTCAGAACTATTCAGAGCATCATTTTTTTTAAAAAAATGAATAAAAACACTTTTTTCAGCGGTTGGACACACACAGCCAAAGGCTCTTTTTCAAATACTGTATGAAGACTTAAATTCATTGCACCATGATTTCTAATAAGAAGATGTTCGTTCTCTTGGTATACCAGAAAAACCCAGTTCCTGCCCATTTATCAACAGTTCCAGGGGAACACTGCTGAATGTTACTCACAAAATGATAACACTGGTTAATTTTCCTGTTATTATATGTAACTGATTGTAATGAATTTTATAATTGTGTTTGGCTTAATCTGATTTTAATAATTCAGTTTGTTTTTATTGTTTTTTATGATGCATATAAAGTTGCCTTGAGCACTACTTAGTAGTGGAAAGATGGAGTAGAAATGCAAATAATCATTATAGTAATTTAACAGATTAATGTGTTTGTCTATATGTGTATTTTTACATACACATACAATGTAGCTGTCCCTGGATGCTAGGACTTCCCCTCCCAAGGCTGTTTTTAAAAGTTTTAAATGCTTTTTGCATAATTAGTGGATTTTTTATTATTATTGCATGTTTAATTGTTCTTTTATCCCATGATTTATTGTGCTTTTAGTGTTTTAACACTGTGAACTGCCTTGGGCCCATTCACTAGGAGAAAGGTGACCTACAACCAATACACTATATATATCCATCTCTTCATCTTTCTATCTATCCATCTCTCTCTCTCCCCCTCCCTCCCCCTCTCCCTCCCTCCCTCTCTCCTTTCCATCCATCCATTTGTCTTTCTACCTATCCCTCTCTCTCCCTCCCTCTCTCTCTCCTATCCATCCATCTATCCATCCATTTCTCTATCTATCCATCTCTCTCTCCCTCCCTCTCTCTTATCCATCCATCCATCCATTTGTCTGTCTATCTATCCATCTCTCTCCCTCCTCCCTCCCTCTCTCCTATCCATCCATCCATCCATCTATCCATCCATCCGTATCTCATATGCTGTCCAGTTGATTCCAGCTTATAACCATATGCATTAATGACCTTTACAAGATCCTCACACACACACGCACACAGGCACGCACGCACGCGCGCGCACACACACACACACACACACACACACACACACAGAGTGTGTACTATATATATATAGTATATAAATGTGAAGGTCATTAATTCATAGAATTGCCATGAATGGGGATCAACTGTACAGCCCATCACGCATCTCAGAAATATAGTGTCCAGAAAACAACTGCAGGGGCTCCACAGAATGGCAACCATCGCAAGCAGTGAAGACAAGCAGCACCTTCCAGAGTCGGTTCCCCTCTCTCTGCCTGTTTGGGCAAAGCAGAAACGTACCTGGGAGAACTATCAGAAAAGTCAGGATGTTTGTTGGTCATGAGCAAATGGGTTTCAGAGTGATCCTTAGAAAGAACGGCACCGATAAAAACATACAATGGAACGGGCAAAAGAAAGGAGCAACTTACAGGCTTTTGTTGATCATGGTGTTGCTTTCTTTAGGATCGGCTCTTCTTTGTCATGGAATTTGTAAATGGAGGGGACTTGATGTTCCACATCCAGAAGTCCCGTCGTTTTGACGAAGCTCGAGCCCGTTTCTACGCTGCAGAAATCATTTCCGCTCTCATGTTCCTCCATGAGAAAGGCATCATCTACAGGTGAGCCAAACGGCTGTCCCCAATTTCTCTTTTTTGCATTACTTCTTGAGGTTCATCTAAATCCTTCAGACAAAATGAGTAAGGGAAGAATCCACCCTTCTACGTCAGTGCATGGTTTTTTGAAAAATAAGTATACACAAAAAAATGGTGGGTGTTTTTGCGGCCATTTCTCCAATCAGAGCTTTGGAGAAATACTGCATCTCCCAAAGCCTCCTAGTCAGCAGGCTATCCTAGATGGGCAACTCTGGTAGTCCAAAAAAAGCAACTGTTCTAAACAGTACCCTAACAGATAGTATGTCATATTCTCTGATCTGGCCATTTTAATATGAAATTCGCCCATATGAGTAAGTGTATGCATTTTGTAGGCACTATTTTGTTTCCAAAGAAAACTCAGAGTACAACAACAAGGGAGGATTGTGTTCTGGTTTAGGAAGTGTGAATTAGGCCAGTTTGTGTTAAAGTGAGAACCAAAGGCATTTCTCCCCACCCTTAGATGAAAGATAAAGAGAGAATGGATAGCCTTGGGGGTAGAAGCTAGACTTGATTAGTAGCCACTGAATTTTCTGTTTATAGCTAAGGACACCCTTCAGGACTGGCTTGCAGAAGAAATCCTATGTGCCTGCCACCAAATGTCAGCATGTTGCAGAAGCTTCCGACTTGTCTCCTAGGGCTCCCTTCCCTGAACGTGGTTATTTACCTTGATCCCTTCTTGTGCAAGGAAATGATCTCTTTTCCTTGATCTGGAGATTTTTCTGTTTCACGCCACACCTTTCTTCCATTCTGCATTTTAAGCTTTTGGGTGCCAGTGGAGGCATTTAAAAAGCCCAACTGACACACATTTTCAGGAGGTAAAATGTGCAGCTTTAGCATCTGTGAGAGTGAGAGTATGAAAGTGTGACAAGGAGTGCATGTGAAAGTAGTGTGTGGAAAGTACATGAGGGCCATGTGCCAGCAGTGGGCTTTTGTTGTTGTTTAGTCGTTAAGTCATGTCCGACTCTTTGTGACCCCATGGACCAGAGCACGCCAGGCCGTCCTGTCTTCCACTGCCTCCCAGAGTTGGGTCAAATTCATGTTGGTCGCTTCGATGACCCTGTCCAACCATCTCGTCCTCTGTCGTCCCCTTCTCCTCTTGCCTTCACACTTTCCCAACATCAGGGTCTTTTCCAGGGAGTCTTCTCTTCTCATGAGATGACCAAAGTACTGGAGCCTCAGCTTCAGGATCTGTCCTTCCAGAGAGCACTCAGGGTTGATTTCCTTCAAAATGGATAGGTTTGTTCTCCTCGCAGTCCAGGGAGTGTTGGACTAGGAATCAGGAGACCTGGGTCAAATCCGTGCTCAACCATAGAACTGGAATGTTGTAATGGTAAAACCACTTAAACTTTTCCTATACCTTGAAAACTGTCTTAAGGTCGCTCTAAATCAACATGACAGCAAATATCACCCCCCCTCCGCTCAATCAGCTTGTCCATAGCCATCTCAATGGGGAGAAGATTCTTCATGCGTATTGGTAGCAATGAGCTTCAGGAGAAAGTTTTTCCATCAGCAAAATCCCAGAAAATGCCAGTGTTTAAACCCCAGGTTTCCCCTGAAATGGAATTTGAAATTACTACTTCTCCATAGAGACCACAGGATCACAGAGACAGAATCATAGAATAATTGAGTTGGACGGTGCCAATAAAGTCACCAGGTCCAACCCTCTGCTCAATGTCAGAATCCAAATCAAAACATATTGGAATGATGGTCGTCCAATTTTCTCATGAATGCCTCCAGTGTTGGAGTGCCCATCACCTCTCAAAGGTAGTGGTTCCATTGTCGTACTGCTCTAACAGTTAAGAAGTTTTTCTTGATATTCATCCTAAAACTGGCTTCCTGTCGCTTGAGTCCATTATTATGTGTCCTGCACTCTGGGATGATCAAGGACAGATCCTGCCCCTCCTCCGTATGACTACATTTCAAGTACTTGAAAAGTGCTATAATATCTCCCCTCGGTCTTCTTTTCTCAAGGCTGAACAGGCCCAATTCTTTCCGTCTTTCCTCCTAGGAGTTGGTTTCTCATCCCCTGACTATCCATGCTGCCCTGCTCTGAACTTGCTCCACTTTGTTGGCAATGCATCCTTCTTACAAACTGGATCAAATTCAGAGGAGGATTTATTAAGCCCTGACGGATTCAGTGGTGCAATCACTAGATCCCAAAAGCTAAGCTACCTGGTTGCTCTTTTTTGTGCTGGCGAAAGAGTAGGCTGGCCAGAAAGCAAGGCCTCCTCTAAACGTAAGGTCTCTTGAACAGCTGATGTACAAGGGGTTCTCCACAACCAGCAAAAAGCTGCCAGTGTAAGAGAGCAGCTTCTGTGATCACCAGCCACGAACTGACACCCGTTGACAGCTTCGCTTATCAGACCTGTTATTGGGGTGTGTGTGGAAGGTGTTAGGTTCTGAAGACTAGAAGTGCAGAAAAGGAGGTGGGGTGAGGTCTTGTTCTGTTTGGGGCTGGCAACAAGGCAAGTTTACAACAGCAGGGCAGAAGCAAAATTCATTGGGGGGGGTGGCAGCTGATAAATAATGCGATTTTCTCAGTTCTTATTCTGTCATACACCACTAAATAAACAGAGGACGTTATACCAGCAGCTGCTGCCTCAATATCATCATCCGTTTTGGGTTTTTTTGCAAACATTCATAGTCACTCTTGGCTCAAGTGGGCGTGTGCAGACATGCGCTGGAGGGGCACCTAAAAATAAATAAATTTATTCTGGGAGGATATATCAGCAAGGAGAAAAAGAACCTCGGGCGTTCAAATCTGCATACGCGGCGCTCTTTGGAGGGCCAAATGAATGTCATGGCGCGGATGCATGGCCGTGGCGGCGGCTGGTTTTCAAGAAGGATGGTGAGCCCTGTAAGTTATTTGGCATTTCTCCTGCAAAGCTTGGGGACACAAGGATGAGACGCAGCTGCAGAATGAATAGGAAGTATCTTTTTCCCTTGCCAGAGGGTCCCAACGAACATGACAAACAGCGTTTGCTTCGTATTTGCAGTCAGAACATGATGTCGGATGGAAGAGCTATTTTAACTATCCCTTGTTTAAGGAAAAATAAATCTCAAGTCTGTAAGCAGAGCATCATGGCTGTGCTGGAGCTGCACAATGAAACAGTGTGCACCCCCTGGCTATGAATATAACTTGCAGGGCTTAGAAAAAGTGATATTTTTTGGGCCATAGATTCCAGACTCACCTCAGTCAACATGCTATCACTATCAAGCTTGAAGGGTTTATAAACTGCTGACTTTTCCAGCGATGCACAGTTGCCTGCCCAAAACGGGAATGTTTGTCTGTCGGTTGTTGTTGATCATGAAATGTGTCTCCCCCCCCCCCACTTCCTGCCCAAAACGGGAATGTTTGTCTGTCAGTTGTTGTTGATCATGAAATGTGTCCTCACCCCACTTTTCTTTTGTTTGGCTGAGCAGTGTTTTTTAAAAGGTTCTTGCTTGTTTGTAATGCTCTTTACGGTAAATAAAAGCAACACCAAAAACCCAAACCAGTAATGCACAACCATCCACTTCAAACCCTATTCAGGCCACCAGTCATTAAGGGAACTGCTCAATGGCTTAGGCTTCTGGCTGTGGGGCCTCCGAGGTTGGGAGTTCAGTCCCCCGATGGTGCCTCCTTGGGAGGGACTGGACTTGGTGACCCATAGAATCCCTTCCAGCCCTGCAGTTCGTAGGTTATTTAAAGCTTGCCTGAAGAGAAGGGTAGCAAAGATGGAGCAATTAAAGTCACAGCTGAAGGCTTGCCTACGTTAAAACAATGAAAAGGTGACCTCAGTTTTGTCCTTGAATTGCTCCGTGTTTTAAGGGGCTGATGAAGTGTACATCTCTTCAGTTTTGTTTCCTTGAATGGTTATCTCCTCCAGTCCGATAGATGCCTTCCTTGGTTTATTGTCTGGCCTGGCAGGATCCTTGCTTGTTAATCCTAGGGCTTTCACCTTTTATAAGGAAATGCTTTTTATCAACCGGTTCGTCATAAAGTTCATGCTTGTGCTCTAGCTGTTGACATTTAGAAGGCAGTTTATATAATAATCCTGGTTTTATACAGAAGATTTATAATAAAGGATAGAGAGTGTTTCGTTGTGGATTTCCAGGCAGTCTAAAGCAATTCAGAGAAAGGAGGGACAGTACTTAAGAAGAAGCTGTAAAGGAAATGTGAAAGCTAAATCTTTTCGTTCAATGTGTGAAATCATCTTTTGCACATAAAAGAGAGTGTAATCTCTTTCCACTTCTCTTTGCTAGTACTTGACAGTTTTGACATATCTCCGTACATCAGAGAGCTGACAGCTAACTGCTCTATCTGATTCATATTACTTGGAAGTAAATACCGTATTACTGAGTTCATGAAGACTTCACTTCTGATGAAGTAGCACTGCAGCTTTGTTTTTTTAAAAAAACATTCAGGGGAAAGTTACAATGCAATTCACAGGGATTCAATGTCTTTATTAACACCAGCCCAATTGCACCCCTCCTGCAAAATGTGCAAGTTTTTGAGTCCTGCAGAGCTCTCCATTGGACCAGGGGTTACAAAAAATGGGGGGGGGTCTTGAGAGTAAAAGAAGAGAGAGAGAGAGAGGAGGCAGGGATTAAGTATTTGATTCTACTTCACCCTCCTGGTAGGACTTGTATGGTGTCCCTGTGGGGGAGAACTAGTAAACTACTTCTGAGTGGTTTGTACCCAGAAATTTTGTAGGACTATTATAGGTCAGAATGGACTTGACAGCAAACACATAAATAATATGGGGGGAGGAGATATAAGACTAGGTTAGGTTTTGCAATAAAAAAGCGACAGTCCTAAGCAAGATTGGCTTTGGTCAGTACTTGGATGGGAGAACGCCAGGAAATGTCAAGGATCTCCACATGGAGCAAGGCAGGAGTGCTGGACAGACACTGCCCGTCAGAGCTGGCAAAAGGGGACTAAGAGACATTAAGGACCCAGTTCGGTATAAAAAGGCTTCCTCTGC